ACAGGAAACACTTGCCCCAAACCCAGTTTCTGGTCTTCTCTCCCGAACCTCCGCTCCAGCAATCCTCGTGTCCAGCGGTGGCCACTCCATCCTCCCAGTTGCTCCAGCCAGAGCCCTTCAGAGTCTTGCTTGACTCCTCTCTGACACCCCCTCTGCAAATCCCTTGGGCTCCACCCGCAAAATCTATCCAGAAGCCAACCACTCCCACTGCTCCCACACTGGTCTCGGCCACCACCACCATATGTCACCTGGATCTCTACAGTAGCCTCCTGATGAGGCTCCCTGCTTCCTTCCTTGCCCACACAGTCTGTTCTCAACACAGTAGCCAGAGGGAGCCTGTTGAAATCTAAGTGGGATCACATCACTCAGCTGCTGAAACCCTCCTGTTCCCTGTTGGGGCTGACACTCTGCTCTGTGTTCCCCTGTGGCCTCCTCTGCAGCCACACTGCTGTTCCTGGAGCATACCAAACTCACTTCTGCCTCAGGACCTTTGCATCGCCTATTCCTGCACTGATCTGCTTCCCCTAGATTCCGCATGACTAGCTCCTTTGCTTACACCTTCTTGGAATTCTTCCTGAGATGTCACTTTCCCACAGAGACCTTCCTGACTACCCTGTTTAAAATTGCAACACCCCACCCCCCTCAGCCGCCATCCTTCTCTGCTACTTTCTTTTGCTCCGTTGCACCTGTCACCAGCTAACATCCTGTGCATTTTATGTATTTATTTTCTTGTTTGTGCTGCTCCCCACCATTAAAATATAAGTGCCATGAGGGCAGAAATTATGTCTGTTTCTTTCATAAGTGGATTCTCAGGGTCTACAACAGTGCCTGGCATGTGTAGCTGTTAATAAATACTTGGCAAGCAAAGGACTAGAGCCAAAGCTAAGAGAGATTATATAACTGAAGTGCCACCAGAATGTGAATTTGGCTTTTAATTCGGGGTGGGGGTGGAGGAAACCTGGAGGAGACCTCAAACAGGAAACAGCTCTTACAGCCTGGGTCCCAGGGAGGGGCTCCCTTTAGGAGAAGCAGGGAGCAATGTGGTCACAGGGTTTGTGCACTTAGTAACAAGCAGGAAATTGCTGCATGATTTCGAGCGAGTCGGGTCTCATCCTGGAGCCTCGGTGTCCTCAACGGGCCAGCAAGGGGATGGAACGGTGGGTCTGTAAGTGTTTCTCCCGCTACCGTTCCCGAAGTTCAGCCCTTCCTCACTGGGCACATGGCAGCCTCTGGGCAAGTGTCCGCTTCCTCCCGGCCTGGCTCCTCCCTCCTCCTGTACCACTCGCTGTTTTGGCACCAGCAGGAAGTTCTGGGCTGGTTGGTGTGTGCCTGGGAGGAAATGACAGGAGGTAGGCTGAGAACTTTAGGCTCACCTGGCAGGCAGGCAGGAGGGGCGGGAGGCCTGGTTGCGGGGTCTGCTTGTGGGGGGTCCGCGCCCACAGTTCCTGAGGGGGACTCTTCTCCAACAGCCCCCAGCCCAGCATCCCTGGGTGCCCAGCTCCCTCTTGCCCTGGCACCAGTTGCACGAGGACAGCCCCAGATGGCTCCCTGGCCCCGGGGACAAAGGCCACACTGTGCATGGCCTTGGGCTGGCCTCGGGCTGGGTCACACTGAGCCCTTCTGTCCCCGGATGGGGGTGAGGGGCAGACAGCAACAAGGTGACAGGCCTTTTTCCTGTCCCCCTTCCCCCTTGACCCCCCAAATCTGAAGAGCTGATTCTCTCAAGGGAAAAGTGACAGAGGCATCTTATGTCTTGAGCGAGGGAACAACAGGGAGCATTCACTACTCAGTCTGCCCTGTCACACCCAAGACCCTGCCGGGTTCAATGCCCCGATTGTCCCCAGCAGAGCGAGGCGTCCACTCTCTGCTGCGGTCACCACCCCTGCCGCCTGCCTCGCTGTCGCCGCCAGTAAGTCCATCCTTACATCTGACCTCCGTCCCTCCTGCTCAGTGACAACCACTTCCTCTGGGTCTCTCTCAAGTGGGTGGAGGACAGCCGGTCCCCATCCCTCGGCATCGCCTGGCCCTGCGTTCCTGCTTGAGAAGCCACCCTCAGCTTCACCTTCCTTCTAGCTCCCCAGCCCACCCTCCATCCCACCCCAGACCCAAGCTGGTGGCTCCTTGCTCCTAACTGAACTGAGGGGACAGCACGAGCAGGTGCCACTCAGGGCTGGTTCTCTTTTGTTTTGCAGAAATCGGGGGCCTCCCTCCTAGAAGGCTTCTAACAAGCCCCCTTCCCCCACAGGCAAGAGCAAGGGCGTAAGATTTATGGCAGCTACCGGTGGATTCCTGAACACAAACCCAACATGGCCATCCCATAAATCCCAGACTGCTGGACGGCTTTATGGGGGAGCCCTGTTTTTAGGAGGGGGCGTGACTAGTCCCTCTTGGCAGAGCTCAGACCTGAAGGAGCCAAGTGCCTGGCTCGCCGCTACAGCCCTAGGCTAACCATGACCGAGCCTGGGGCATCAGTCTGCAGGGCAGACATTTCTTCCCCTGTATGGTAGTTGGGGGGCGTATGGGGGGGGGTTCTGCTGCTCCGCTCGGCCTGCCTTCTGTCTTCTGCCTTCCTGCACCTCCCCAGCTCAGAGGATTCCCTGTCTCAGCGCAGTAGGGCAATCTGGAATCCTGGGTGGATTACCATCCCTTACCTAGACCTCAGATGCTTCTCACCGTGGCTCCATGTCCAGATCACTGGGGATGCTTTTTTTTTTTTTTTTTAAGATTTTATTTATTTGTCAGAGAGGGTGGGGGGCATAAGCAGGGGGAGCGGCAGGCAGAGGGAGAAGCAGGCTCCTTGCTTAGCGGGAAGCCTGACGCAGGACTCGATCCCAGGACCCTGGGATCATGACCTGAGCCGAAGGCAGACGCTTAACCAACTGAGCCATCCAGGTGCCCCTGGGGATGCTTTTTAAAAAAATTCATTTTCCCAGTCACCATTCTCAGTTCCAGACTCTGAGAGTGAGACCCAGGAATCTGAAATTTTTAAAAATACTCCCTGGTGCTACTGATGTTCAGCCAACTTTGTAAACAACTGACCTGTCCAGTGGGGACATCTCCACTCTCCTATCCTGCTGGGAAATATGAGGCGACAGGTGGGACACATCTAGGTCCTCCTGTCCCTGGAAACCATATGCTGCCACTGTCACGAAGCTTCCGTTATGGGACAGGCTCTGGCCCCTGGCTGGCTGCACACTCCAGGGTAAAGCGGGGTGACTGCCCGCTGGGAGCTTCATGTCCACCCATGCGTCCTATAGACGGTGGCCCCAGAGCACTGGGGGCCAGGGAGGAGCGGCGGAGGTTGGAGGGCAGGAATGAGCTTAGGGACGGGGAATCCGGAAAGTCCGAGGTGCCGGCTTTGCCAAGGAAGCTGGAAGAACAGCTTCTGATACCTTCTCCTCAGAGGAGGCATCAGCAGCCGCTGAGTTCCTGGAGAATAGGGACCACACTTCACTCCCCACCGTGAACCCAGCACATAGTAGCTACTCGGTCCTCACCTGTCGAGCTGAATGAACCAAGTGAGACTCTAGGGCCCAGCGGACAGAGATGGGCTCAGCTGGCGCCAGCCGGAGAAAAGAGGACCTGGCCGCCCCCCTACCCCCATCCCATCCCCTTCACCGCCCCCCCCCCTCCCAGCTCTGGGCTCAGGAGCCTGCTGGCCCAGAGAAGGGACCCTCTCCAGGCTGGCTGAGGACAGAAGGATGACCAGGAAGCAAAGCAAACATGTTATGACCCAGAATCCCTTAAACCAGGGGGATTCAGGAGGGGTCTTTGGCAACAGGGAACTGGCTAGTGATTGGGAATGGGCTGTGCTGGGTGCTTGGGTAAAAGCTGGGAGAGGGTGCAGGGTGGCCCCGTCCCATCACAGGACTGGCCCTGGATGCCTTCTTGGCAGGCGTCGGTGGGGCACTTGGGAGGCCTCCCGGTCCCTGCTCCACCAGGGAGGTGTGGGCAGAGCAGGATGAGGGGCAGCCACACCTGGGAACTTATGAAATCATGGAGGGGAGTGGCGGCGGGGGGGGTGGTTCAGGGCAAGATACAGAAGGAAGGGTCTGCAGGAAGAAGCAGTCTAACTGCGTGGCCAGCAGGGTACCCCCTCAGAGGGCACAAGGGCTGGGGAGCCCCAGGGAGGGAACCCTTTCTGGCTCGGGGAGGGAACCCTTTCTGGCTCGGGAAGGGGCCTTGAGGTGAACAGAGCAGCCCACCCTTCTCCCCCACTGTGTTCTCTGCGGCATGGACACCCTGCCCCCTCAGGGCTCTGGCGTGAGAGGGGCTCAGCCTCCTGTCCCTGGGGCCCTCTTTTTCCGGCAAGCTTCTGTGTGTCCCCTGAGACCTTCAGCTGCTCCTAACCTCCTACATTTCAGCTGGAGAGGCACAGCTCAGAGGCACACGTCGCCTCCCTTGACCTTCTCCTTTTCTGGGTCCCAGGGACCTAGGACAAGCCAGAGAGGGACCTCCAGGTGTCAGTATGAGGATGAAGTGGGGTTTGGACCAGACTCTGTCACGGGGCCGCAGGCTGAGCTGATGTTCAGCTTCTGGGCGTCAGTCAGTGAGGCTTACTGGCTGTTGACATACTCAAGCTCTTACACACAAGCAGGTGAAGAACTATTGGCTCGAGTTCTGGTCCGCTCCCTGCCACTCCAGGCCTCTTGAGAATTCTCTAGCCCTCCAGGAGCCCAAAGGTTACCATCTGGCCTGGTGAGGCCCCCAGGCCCCTGCCGGCACACCATACTGCTGTTAGGAGCAGCACTTCGCTATACTGATTAGTACATAGTAGCCAGGCCGGGGCGGGGGGGTTCTGGGGGCCCGGGGGAGCGGGATTCACAGGGAGGAAGAGGGCTAGGTACTGGAACCTTGGTGAAGAAGATGCAACCCTGGCTCCCGAATGCGGGGCCCCAGAGCTCGATGGGCAGACGGAGACAAGACCCAGAATTCGCATCTGCTGTCAGCCGGGCCTGGTGCCTGGTTCTCACCCGCGCTGCTCCCCTCTCCCGTCTCAGGCCCCACTGCCTGGTCCCCGCTGACCATGAACAAGATGAAGAACTTTAAGCGCCGCCTCTCCCTGTCCGTGCCGCGCACCGAGACCATCGAGGAGTCCTTGGCCGAGTTCACAGAGCAGTTCAGCCAGCTCCACAACAGGCGCGATGAGGGTGAGGGATCCGGCCGCCCCCCGCCCCGCCCTGATGCCCCCCACAGCCCCTCCTGGCCCTCCCTGACTTGGCCCACACTGCTGGGGGGGGACAGAGGTGGGGCGGCACACTCCTGCCCCTCCCCCCGGGGCAGAGGGACAGGGTGGGCAGCTGACGCCTCTCCCCCTCAGACCTGCAGCTTGGGCCTCTCGGCAGAGACCCCCAGCCAGAGTCCAGCCCCTTCTCCCCGACGGACAGCGGGGACGAGCCTGGGCAGCCGTCCCCCGGCTTGCAGTACCGGCAGCAGAACCTGCGGCGCTTCTCCATGGAGGTGAGGGGCTCTGGGCTCTCCCCTGTGGGCGAGGCAGGGCCCGCCCGACAGTGTGTGCCCAAGGAGGGTGGCGGCCGGGGAGCCAGACTCCATGGGTTCAAATCCCAGCTCTGCTGTTGATCAGCTCTGTGACCTTGAGCAAGTGTCTCAACCTCTGTATACCAGTCTCCTTGTGTTAAAATGGTCATCGTGAAGATTAAACAAGTTAATACATACCAAGTGCCTAGAACAGTCCTGGTACATAACGAAGCCAGACAATTTGACTACTGTTCTTGTGACTCGTCTGCATGGGCCCACGTATCAGAAAAATAGGCTTCCATCCATTGGAATCTCATTCTATAGATGGTTATACGGCAGCCCAGAGAGGGAAAGGGCCCTCCTGAGGTCACACAGCAACCCCTGCGTGTTCACATATGTCTCTGAGCACATCTTTGAAGCCGCTGTGAGCCTGGGGTCACAGCCTGTGGTTTGGCCCTGCTGGGGTTGCTCTACAGGGAAAGCCAGGCCCTGGGTGAAAAGTGAGGGTCCCACAGCACGAGGTAACCTGGAGCAAACACGGGTGTCCCCGTCTCATCCCGGCCACTGCAGGACATCAGTAAGAGGCTGTCTCTGCCCATGGACATCCGCCTGCCCCAGGAATTCCTGCAGAAGCTACACCTGGAGAGTCCCGACCTGCCCAAACCGCTCAGCCGCATGTCCCGCCGAGCATCCCTGGTGAGTTCCAAGAGGGTCAGAGGTCACCAGGGGAGACCCTCCTCCCCCAGCCTGGACACATCAGTTCGGGTTTGCCTGACGGGCGGACGCCTGCAGCAGTCTGTGGGCCTCTGGCGCCACCTGCTGGCTTCAGCCAATTCGCAAGCTTGTAGTCCTTGGTCAACGTCCACTCCCCTAGGTGAGTCCCACCAGGGCTGGAGCTGAGCCCCCACAGACCAGCTGGCATGTGCTTTCCAGTCGTGGCTACTTATCATATTTCCTTGGGAGCATTTTGCAAAACGTGGACTCTGGCCCCCACTCCAGATACCTACAGAATCAGACCCTGGTGGTGGGGCCCAGGAATCTATATTGTTAAGGGTCGGGTACCACTGAACTAGAGGAAGTATGCTGATGAGAGAGACTGCCGGGAGGCTGGTTCTGAACTGGACAGTTGAGGTACAGTTGAGAACAAGACACAGTTTCTGCCCATGAGGAGCTAGTAGTCTGAGCAAGGCGGAGACAGACAGGTGTTGAAGGTGTGTGGCAATCCCAGGTGCCCCAGCCCTGGCTCTGCCCCCTCCACTGCCAGCGGAGGAAGAAACTCACACCTCCTAGGGTTCCTTCCTTTATCCCGGGGATAGAGGGGAGAGGCCAAGAGGCAGGACTTGTGGCTGCCCTCATCCCTGCTGGGCTCTTTTGCTGCCTCTCCCTGATGGGGGTCTCATTCCCTTACCTCCTGGAGGCTGGCTGGGGGGGTGTCACGTATGTGGGGCTGTGGAGCCTTCAGGCTCACAGGACCCTATGTCTCTCCCTCTCAGTCAGATATCGGCTTTGGGAAACTGGAAACATACGTGAAACTGGACAAACTGGGGGAGGTAAGAGGCTGGGTGGGACAGTGAGGAGCAGGGACAGGGTCTCCCCTGCCCACCCTGTCCTGCCTTCCCATCGCCCCTGCCCCAGAGGCATACTGTCTTGGCCGTCCAATCTGGCCCAGCCTTTTGCAGGTGTTGAGGGAGGCCCAGGTCCTGGAGGAGGGCATGAGGATGGAGTGGGGCCCGTGGGCTCTGGGCATAATCCAGTTTTTTGTTTGTTTTTTTTTTAAGATTTTACTTATTTATTTGACAGAGAGAGACACAGCGAGAGAGGGAACACAAGCAGGGGGGAGTGGGAGAGGGAGAAGCAGGCTTCCCACCGAGCAGGGAGCCCGATGCGGGGCTCGATCCCAGGACCCTGGGATCATGACCTGAGCCGAAGGCAGACGCTTAACCGACTGAGCCACCCAGGCGCCCCTGGGCATAATCCAGTTTGTCTGTCTGTCTGCTTTTCCCGCAAGTGTTTCTCTGGATTCAAATCCCGTCTCTACCATTTACTAGCTGTGTGGCCTTGGGCAAATGATGGGACCTCTCTGTGCCGTAGTTTCTTGCTCTGTCAAATGGAGGTGTAATGGCTGTGCCCCCAGGGCTGTCATGGGGATGGACTAGGTTACTCTAAGAAGCTCGCGTACACGCTTAGAGAGTAAGCGCTGTGGGCCGTTAGCTATTTCTGTTACCACTGCGCCAAGCTTTGTGTCAGGGCCCTGGGGCAGCCAAAGGTTTACAGACAGGAGAGAGACACGGCCGTCTCCCTCCAGGAACCCAAAGAGGGGGCCTACCTGTAAACATCAACATAAGGAAGAACAACACTGTGTTATAACAGAAGGGCGCCTCGCCTGCTGGGGGCTCAGGGGGAGGACAGTCCATTGTGAACAGGGAGGAGTGAGGGACAGAGTCAGAGAGAGATGGGTCTTGGAGCACACACAGAATCTCAGTGAAAGGAGAAGAAGGGGGAAGGGCACAGCGCAAGCAGAAGCACAAAGAGCAGGGTGCGGGACAGAGGGCCATGGGCCCTGAGTGTGGCTGGTGCTGCCGCGGTTCTTGTCCCCAGGGCACCTACGCCACAGTCTTTAAAGGGCGCAGCAAGCTGACGGAGAACCTCGTGGCCCTGAAGGAGATCCGGCTGGAGCATGAGGAGGGGGCGCCTTGCACTGCCATCCGAGAGGGTACAGCACCCTAGGGTCCTGAGCCCCTGGGGCTCCCGGGAGGAGGGCTTCATTGACCTGAGCCCCAGAGGGAGCCTAGGGGCAGAGGGTCATTGCTGGAGTGGGGGCTCCTAGGGCTGATCCCAGGAAGAGAGGGTACGAGGGGTGTGTGGGGCCCCAGGGACCCAGGTGGGCCTGTCGCCCCCTACAGTGTCTCTCCTGAAGAACCTAAAGCACGCCAATATTGTGACCCTGCATGACCTCATCCATACGGAGCGGTCTCTCACCCTGGTGTTTGAGTACCTGGTGAGTTGGGCTGGGGCTAGCAGCTTCTCCCTTCTGTGGTGGGGGTGGGGGCAGGGTGGGGGGCAGCCCAGGCCTTGTTCTAGAATCAGGTTCTCAGATGATTCCATGCAGGAGTGGGCCCAGGGAGTTTAAAGGCGGCTCAGACCTTGGGCCCTGCCTGGGGAGGGGCTTCCAGCCATGGGTCAAGACAGGTCGGGGCTGAGCCAGGCTCTGTGTTCCAGGATAGTGACCTGAAGCAGTATCTGGACCACTGTGGAAATCTCATGAGCATGCACAATGTCAAGGTGAGGGCGTCCGTAAGGGCCGCCTACCCTCAGGGCCCCCATCTCGGCCCCCATCTGTTCTCCAGCCCAGCACGGGAACCCACACTCACCACCAGGATCCCAGCTGCTGAGGTTGCTCAGACCTTCAAAGGCATGAGGGCGTGCAAGGTCACTGCCATTCAGGGAATACCAGGAACTGTGCTATGCGCCCTACCCCACCAATGCAGGCACACACCCTCTGCCACCATCTAGCTGATGATATAAAATCCCCTCTCCAACTCTGAGCATCAGTTTGCCCATCTGCCAAATGGGTACATGGATGAAAGGAGGCTTCTGAAGAAGCTTGAAGGGATGAACGACCCCTTCTGGTCACTGTGAAAGAACCAAGTGCATAGCTCCCCACCCTGGTGGGCTTCCTGGCCCTGCATGGCCCCCCTCAGCTCCCGGACCGGAGAACGCTCTGGCCTCCAGCACCCTGCTTCCTCTTCCGCACACCTGGTGCCCTCCCCTGTGGATGGGATTCCCTGGGATGGATGGAGCCCAGGATGGGGCGCAGCATGGGTGGAGAATGGGTAGCTCCCCAGCGACCTCACCGCCCCTCCCAGCCATGGGGCAGAAACATAGGGTCTCCCGGGTGGGACACACTCTCCCCTTCCCCTGCTCACCTTTCTTGTCCCCTCCTCCCTCAGATTTTCATGTTTCAGCTGCTCCGGGGCCTTGCCTACTGTCACCGCCGCAAGATCCTGCACCGGGACCTGAAACCACAGAACCTGCTCATTAGTGAGAGGGGGGAGCTGAAGCTGGCTGACTTTGGTGAGGGCCGGAGCCCACCGGGGCCAGGGGACGGGTCTGGCACGGTCTCCCCAGGAGGTGGGTGCTGTGGGAGAGGGAGTTGGGAGGCTCAGTGATGTGTCTGTCCCCAGGCCTGGCCCGGGCCAAGTCAGTGCCCACGAAGACCTACTCCAATGAGGTGGTAACCCTGTGGTACAGACCTCCTGATGTGCTGTTGGGGTCCACAGAGTACTCCACCCCCATTGACATGTGGTGAGTGAGCGCCGTGGGACCAGGGTGAGGGGGGTTTCCACACCTCCACCTTCCCTTTTGCTGCCTCAAGACCCTCCGCAAAGAACTGCCTAACCTCCTGCCTAACTAGAAGCCAGGTGACATCCTCCTGCAGTAACCGGATGGGAAAGAATGAAGTCTGGACTACGTTAGAGTCCCCCTGGCTCTAAGTAGACCCTCCAAGGCTCTGCTTCTGAAATATTCCCCCCAGGGATCCCGAGGAGGTTACCAGAGGGGACAGGAGGGCTGCCACAGTGAATGTGATGAATCTTCCCCAAGCATCATTTCTACTGAAAATTTTGGAAAGGATTTATTACTTTTGTGTTAAAATTACCATGCATATGATTTGGTGTAGAACGAAAAAAATCAGTCCAATTTTTAAGCAGAAACCCAGGTTCCTGATGAATGACCACTGTGTTCTGTGCTAGGGGGTCCCCAAGCGAATGGATTTATGGACTCCCCTCTTCCTGTGGGGACAGAGTTTGAGACAGCACTGCTTGAGGAACCGGCACATGGGCGCAGACCCAAACTCTACGGAGTGAGGGCAGAGGCTAAAGCGCCCTAGAGCCCAGAGGAGCCCCAGAGAGAGGCCCCGGTGGCGGACTGGGCTGTGCTAGCCTCCCCTGTCCTGGGCCGCCCACCCCAGGGCCAGGACTCTTGCAGCCACCAGGGGCAGGGCATCACAGGTGCCCTGGTGGAGCAGCCCTAGGAAGGGCGGGTGCGAGGAGGCCCAGCCTGACGCCGCCCCTGCGCATTGCTCCCCACAGGGGCGTGGGCTGCATCCACTACGAGATGGCCACGGGGAGGCCCCTCTTCCCCGGCTCCACGGTCAAGGAGGAGCTGCACCTCATCTTCCGACTCCTGGGTCAGTCTCCGGCCGCCCCCTCCCGCTCGCCTCCAGGGGGCGCCAGAACCCCGTCCAGCCCAGGCGCATAAAGGGACTGGGAAGAGGGGCTCCCACTCGCTCTCAACGGGGCGGCGACCCCTGTGGCCTCCGCCATTCTCTGCCCCCACCCCCTTCACTGCATCCTTCCCAGTCGCCCGTGGCCCTGGCCCCTCACTCTGCCCTTCCCACGCCCTCTCATCTCCCCAGGGACCCCTACGGAAGAGACGTGGCCCGGCGTGACCGCCCTGTCGGAGTTCAGAGCCTACAATTTCCCGCCGTACCAGCCCCAGCCGCTCATCAGCCACGCTCCCAGGTAGCCCTGCCGCCCCACACCTCCTCTCCTGCTCGCGGTCCCCGCTGTCCCTCCTGGAGGTGGCCGCGCACGCCCCCGGCCCCCAGCTCCCAGCCCCCCCACCCAGGCCGGGCCTGTGTCAGCTCCTCCGTCCTGCAGGTTGGACACGGACGGCATCCACCTCCTGACCAGCCTCCTCCTGGTGAGTGTGCCCCGAGCCGGGCCCAGGGACAGGCAGCCGGAGAGCGAACAGCGCTGAAGCCCCGAGACCCCACCTGGGCCCGCCACCCACCTCTGCGCTCACAGCTCACGCTCGCCCCCATATTCGTCCCCGGCGCCCCAGCCCCAGGCCCAGGAGGAGCGCGGGCTTCCACTCTGCGGTGGGAGTGGGCGCACTCTGAGCTCAAACCCCAGCTCAAGCCCACTTACTAGCTGTGTAGCCTTGGCCAAGTTATAGAACCTTCCTGGGCTTCCGTTTCCTCCACTGCAAAGAGGAATTAATAATTCGTATTTTATAAGCTGGTCACGAGGACAAAGTGAGATTATGGAGCACACTTAGTATGGTGCCTGTCTTGAAGGAAGCGCACAGGGGAGTCGCTGGTATGACATGTTACTGTTGCTAATGTTATGAGCGTGGTGGCTTCAGCCTCTGTATTTCCATCCCAAGAGGAGGTCACTCTCCGGAAGTCCCAGTTTGGGCTTGCTCTCGGTGGCTGGAGACCTGGGAGCCGAGCCCGCAGTCGGCCTCGGGCTGGCTTGGAGGTGGGGGCTGGCAGCGGCCCCTGCAGGCTCCTGGGTTAGACTCGGGCCCCTCTCATTCTGGCCGTCTAACTCAGTGTAGGGGTCGCACCGCGCACAGGGGCCCCCAGAGTCCCCCAGCCACGGCCCCATAGCCCACCCTGTGCCTTTCAGTACGAATCCAAGAGTCGTATGGGCGCAGAGGCAGCCCTGAGCCACGCCTACTTCCGGTCTCTGGGAGAGCGCGTGCACCAGCTTGAAGATAGTGAGTGTC